GTGACTTAAAAAGTATATGTTTATTATATAGTATATATAACCTTAGCATCATTGCTAACTTTTTTATGTTCTTCTAACAAACATTGTATAGAATCACGTTTATTGCTAAGTTGTTTTCTACATACAGGGAACTTGTCTTGGTGTTTAATATTTCATACATACACACAGAAAGAGAGTGTTGCTGAGTTAATGTCAACATACCGGTGATAATGACGTTCACATAGACGCTTTTCTTCCATCCAGCCTCACACCAGTAATCTCCACTGTCCTCTTTATAAGCAGATTTAATGTTGCAATTCAACTCATGAAACGAGCCCCATTTTGAACCATCACAAGTTTCCTTTCCTGTTTTGCTCCACCGTGAAATGTTCACATCAGTCAAACCATCGAAGCCCACACATCTTAAAGAGAAAGGCTCGTATTCAAAGACCTGAAGTCTGGATGGTTCGATCCAAACATCTGCATCTGAAACTGAAAAATAAATGTGTTGTTGAGATTAATATATAGCACTTTAAATAAAGTTATGACCTTTATTTTTTTTCCTCATTATTTTTTGGTAAACAAGCTTCTTACCAACGTTCTGTTCACAGAGCTGCAGAAACACCGTCATCCCTGCAGAGACAACAGAGACAAACATCAGACAGAGTTCTTATATTAGATTTTATTACCTTGACTTTATTATTTAAATGAGTCTTTGATAGATAATACTTGAAAAACAACTCACCATTAAAACATAGAATACACAATAGAGAACAGCACAAATGGCCATTTAGCAGCTATAAGTAATAGCATCTATATTTGCTCTTCTTTATTATACATATATTTAAATATTTAATAATAAGCATAAAATAAAAACAAGTTATTTTATAAGAGATCTCACCTAGAAGATCCTCTACATAAAAAAAATGTCTTGTCATGAATGAAAACATTTGAAACATATTGTCTTTATTCATATGGAGGAAGATTTCTCTCTATATGATGTGTTTGGACAGATCAATAACCCGTGTGTAAATGTTTAAAGACCTCCAAAAATTATATAAAGGACTTGTAAAATCACAAACTATTCATGAAAGATGTGTAAAAATATGATAAAATCAAGCAATATTGACAGAAATCTAGCTCCATATGTTCCTTTAGCTAATATGATCTAGTAACATCGTTATGTGAAAATCAGCAGATGAAGACTCAGTACTCACACAGTGTGATGCAGAGCGCTGTGACCTCCATGGCGTCTGGCTGCTGACTGAGTGAACCTCACACTGAAATATAAAAAGAAGAAGAGGGGTGGTCTCTTCCTGTGTGGCTCACTAATGAAACGCCTTGTAGCTCAGACGCGTGTCATGGAAGGAAATACGTGTCAGTGGTGGGGTTAATATTAGAGGCTGAGGCCAAAAACTCATATGTGAGAAAGACAACTTTACGTCTTGATGTGTAGAACAGACAAACAAAAACGATTATGAGAGAGAGAGAGAGAGAGAGAGAGAGAGAGAGAGAGAGAGAGAGAGAGAGAGGGAGAGAGAGAAAGAGAGAGAGGCCTGCAGTCAGGACTTCTGCAGAGATTCTTAAATATCCTGCTGTGTCCTCATCGCTCAATCTGAGATTTGATGCACTCAAGTGTTCTTTCTTTTATGAAACCCTGAGTTGTTTTTGTTTTTCAACTTCAGACCCATTTCTCCTGCTGGTTTTCTGCATCACAGGCTGCAGGGCCATGCATACTGCTGTACATTGAAAAACATTGAGGTCAGAGTTTATTATCTGATGGAGATTTATTCAGATATACAAACATCCTGCCATCTTTTGCTTGATTTCTCAATCACACACAATACAATAAAGTCTGACAGATGTTCTAAAAAGGAGAAGTCCCGCCCCCTGCCCTAAAAGATCAAGGTCATCCTCCTTAATAGAGAAGTGCCTTTCAATTGTTACCACAATAAAAATAAGCTGATATTCGCCTGGAACTTATTTCATTGCAGTGTATGATTTATAACCTGATAAGTGAGTCCAAAGTTCAGATAGGATGGACCGAGACGCTCAAACACTCAGATAACAATAGGGTGGATACATTTGAACTGTAATTGAATATATTACAAAGCTCTGGAAGAAATGTCTCTTGCTGTTACAGAGACTCTGAAAAAACTAAACAAAATATTGACGACTAAGAAACTCAGTGGAGCAAATTAATTAGGTGTTATTTAAATTTCCTGATACACTGCTGGAGCCTGTTAATGATTTAGTGACTTTGACCTCGCAACACTCAACAGGTAAGTGGTCTTTGTCTAACATTGGATCTAAAATAGATTTAAACTTTGGAGAAAAAGGTGTGTCTGCATTTTGAGTTGTGCTCTCAGCCACAACTTCAGATTAGAACATATAACAAAACATGTTTAATATGTTTGTGTCGAAGTGAAAGCTGCATCCAGATTCAAACTGTGTTACTGATTTATGATTTCTACAGTTCTGAAATGTTTCATGAATTGTTAACCTTTAGCCGTACTTACAGATCAACTGTTGGTCATAGCAAAAACCGGTTATTGTCGACAGAGTCTGAAAATGTACCGGAGATATTGGACTAACCCTACTGTTACTAAGATATTCAACAAATGAAGGAAATATATTTCAATGCACTTTGGTTTGCTTTAAAGTCTTAAGCTACTTTAGTGAAATTGTAATGTGATTTTTTTGCTGAACGTTGCTAAAACAGATACATAATGACTTGACTCTGTTAATATTGGTGTATTGATTTATTTCCACAGAGGTATAAATGACAGAAAAGCGAAGCTTTGAGTAGGCTGTGTTTGAAACAGAGTTCATAATTTGAGGAAACATTGCATGTGTCTAATTATAAGCAGAGCACAGAAGATGGCAGCAAAGTTTTATTTTTCATTTATTGGAGCTTCCAGCACTAATGGCCAAATTGAAATGACTATCAGCATTTTTCCAAGATTTAACTATTTACAATATGTTTTCACCTGGAAGTTCACACTGTTCTCTTTTCTCTGTTCATTTCCAGCGCTCCATGATGCTTTTCCACGCAGACGGAAAGCCCCTTAAAACTCATCTCAGAACTCTCAGTGTTTTGGTTTTCCTTCTTCTCCTAACACACCACTGTAGAGGTAATTCACACAAATACAAGCCTCAAAAGACAATTTGAAAGAGGATGGAGGAATTTATGTTTGGCATTATTGGGCAAATATTCACTTCAGTCAGACAACTCACGTTTGAAATGTTTATTAGCAGGATCTTATAGTTTGATTTGGCATCTAGGCTCCGGCCTCATCACTGCAAATCTACTAATCTACTCGCAAATATCTTTTATATATTATTGTGAACGTTCCAGCTCACGATAGGGATACAAAATGACAGATGGAAAAATGTTGGTGGGAAAACAAGCAGGGTTCATTTCCAACTCAGCACAAAAAGGGGTACACATGAGCACCGGTCCGCTCCTATATTTCTGGAGGTGGCCGGGAGAGTGACGGTCCTCCTCTCAGGACCCAGTCTACTGCAAGAGACCAGTATCAGGTTACCAGCACGCTTTTTACTGAGAGCATATTGACCTGATTCAGATCAGCTGTCTCCGGCTGAGCCACTCCCATCGCTCCAGCAGCTGGCGCCCTAACCACACCTCGCTGCCACAATTATATCTCTACTGAGACTGCTCTGTATAGGCCTGCGACCAGCCACAACTTGTGAAATCCTCATTGATTAGTCTACAGTCCAACGCCAAGACTTTCTAAATCCTGAATACAGAGCCTAGAGGTTCAAAAGTCTGTAAGGCTTCTTGAATTCCAATATATGGATTTATTTTCCCAAAGGCGCCAAACGTATGTCTATGATAAGTCAATAGTGTGGGGAGACCACTCGAGCTACCATCATGTATGCCCGTGTGATTTCTATCTATCACGCATGTTAATAAAAACACCTAATTATGTTTTGATTCAAGTACAAATACATACACAATGATTGATCTTTGTTTATTTCTAACCTTCTTAATTGGAAGAGAACGTTTTTACTTCCTTTATCTTCGCAGGTCAGTCTCAGCTGATTGGCTCACCTCAGCCAATCGTAGCAAACCTTGGCGGTGACATCATTTTGCCGTGTTATTTGGTGCCAGTGCTAAATGTTGCCGATTTGACGTTGGAGTGGACGAGGCCCGACATGGACCCCAGATTCGTCCATGTGATGCGGCTTGGTCACGAGATGGTGGAT